CCATTTCATGAAACTTAGTACAAAGATGCTCTAGGACAATGTACAAACCTAATTAGTTTGGGGTAAAAATCTGTTCATATTAATTCCCTAATAAGCATAATAATTCATAATTTTTTGGTTCTAATCACATTTCAATTAAACTTGGAAACATAGATTTTCTGTTACATTGCGCAGACCTCATTAGTTTTACACTCAAATCTGTTCATATTAATTTTCTGATTTGCATAATTAGTTTTCAGCTAAGTAATTTCGAATTATATTTAATGTGTCTCCAATACTCTCAGCACATGGGAGTTCTTTCTAAGCTTTCTTTGATTTTTAATGTGTCGTCAATACTCTCAGCACACGGGAGTTCTTTCTAAGCTTTCTTTGATTTTACTTGAGATAGAATGCACGCAAATTATCATTTCTGAATATCATTTAGACAATATTTGGCTGGAAGTACATATGATATACACTTATTTGGAAATTCAACCTCTTAGTATTGTAGAATACACATACTAATAGAGATGAATTGTGCACACATTCCTTAATTGGAAATTCTGCCTCATAATATGGTAGGATACATGTAGCAAGAGACACATTGTGCACACACTTCTTAATTGGAAACGCTACTTCCTAATATGGTAAGATACATGTACTGTAGAGATACAATGTGTACACACTCTTTAATTGGAAATTCTGCCTCATAATATGGTAGGATACATGTAGCAAGAGACACATTGTGCACACACTTCTTAATTGGAAACGCTACTTCCTAATATGGTAAAATACATGTACTGTAGAGATACAATGTGTACACACTCTTTAATTGGAAATTCTGCCTCATAATATGGTAGGATACATGTAGCAAGAGACACATTGTGCACACACTTCTTAATTGGAAACGCTACTTCCTAATATGGTAAAATACATGTACTGTAGAGATACATTGTGCACACACTTCTTAATTGGAAACGCTACTTCCTAATATGGTAAGATACATGTACTGTAGAGATACATTGTGTACACACTCCTTAATTGGAAACGCTACTTCCTAATATGGTAAGATACATGTACTATAGAGATACATTGTGTACACACTTCTTAATTGGAAATGCTACTTCCTAATATGGTAAGATACAAAGTGACATGGTCTATGCTGCAATGTTCAATAAATATATTCACAGACATAAATTACATTGTGTAGAGTAAATCTTTGTTCTCTGAGCAATTACTTTTTACCTCAGACAACTAAGAGAAGTGTATATTTAAATACAATTTATGTTGATTGTCCTTGTATCATCTCAGACCCAGGTGAAACGAAACGCATTCGTTCACGGATTTGACCTACTTGACCTCACAAGCAAGAGCGACTTGGATCAATCACCGGGTCGTGATATATTTTTTTATTGTACGGGAAATGGTTAGCTTCGCGTCACATATACACAGTTCGTGTCATTGCCAGTGATCATGTTTTTTTTGTTTTTTTTGTTTGTTTTTTCTCTTCTTATTTTGGCTAGGCTATGCAACAACGAAAGAACATCAGCGGCACATTCTTTACATTTAGTGGAACTTTCTACAAAGTATCAACTAGGTTCCCACGCAATTTTGATTGAGGTCGTTCACAGACATCGGGCAGAGAAAATGAGAATTGTGAAAGATTTCTTTCGCTGCCACATGTTATCATCTATTTTTTTGACAAACTAAAAAGAATTCCAAACTATGCCGGTCTAGTCAAACACAAGAATGCATAAATGTGCATTTTTATCGGATATATATCAATTTGGCCCAAAACTCAGTCATGCCAAAACTTGTCGAGCAATATCACCTCAAAATGTACTCTGTCCGTACTCATTTTGCATACGAAATTCTACGTGAACGTCATGTTGTGGTCCTTTGTGCCAAATTAGATCGTGGATCACTATAACAATAACCATCTTCACTATGACCCGGAAATAAAACATATTACCAACCAGCACGGCGGCAGCGAATCTCTTTTGTTCATTAGTCCCTGTTCGAACGAAGTCCAAAAACCGGGGCTATTAATTTGGGTTTGTTACGTCCGTCCGTCCGTCCGTCCGTCCGTCCGTCCGTCCGTCCGTCCGTCCGTCCGTCCGTCCGTCCGTCCGTCCGTCCGTCCGTTCGTCCGGAGCTATATCTCAGACACCCAATGACGAATTTCATTCAAACTTTACATTAAGACAATGCATAATGTCTTACATATGCGCGTCAAGTTACTTCATGGTCAGAGAAAAAATGGCAGACTGGCAGCCATTTTGAATGTAAAATTTGCTATTTCTGATACCTAAACGTGTCCGCAGCAGTTTCTCGGAGATGACTGGGTTGATTTGGATCAAAGTTGGTATGATGATTATACATATTGGGTTGTAGGTGCACGTCATTATTTTTTTTGTGATTCAAACAAATATGGCCTACTGGTGGCCATCTTGTTTTTCTTGGTACCCATGCTACTTTATCTTGAATGCAATGAACGTTTCTATTTAAATTTTGTACAAAGATAGTATACCAAGAGGTACATCTTGCACCAACATGATTTTTGTGATTCAATTCAATATGGCTGGCCGACGTCCAATTTTCATGTAAAAGCGCTAAATCTTCATTTTTACATGTCCAAGGCTGTTTCTCAGAGATGACAGGTACGATTTGGATCAAAGCTGGTATGGTGATCATATATATTGGGTTATATGTGCACGTCATATTTTTTCTGTGATTCGAACAAATATGGCCAACTGGCGGCCATTTTGTTTTTCTCCCATGCTACTTTCTCTTGAATGCAATGAACGCTTCTCTTTAAATTTTGTACAAAGATAGTATACCAAGGGATACATTTGTAACAACATTTTTTTTTGTTATTCGATTCAATATGGCTGACTGACGCCCAAATTTTCTGTAAAAGCGAAATGTCCGTAGCTGTTTCTCAGAGATGACTAGGCCAATTTGGATCAAAATTGGTATTAGTAGTATCATTTGTAACACTTTCTTAATAAATACTCGTAAATAAACAAAATAATCAATTTGATGTATACTTTACTAGCGCCCTCTAGCTTAAAACAAATGAATAATAAATTTAAGCTGTAGAGGGCAGATACAAAACAGTGACAACACTCAGGTATGCATTTATAGTTCTTTCTTTTCAAAGTTCAATTATTACAAATAAGTGAAAGTGTATTACATTGCCTCAATGTCACAAAGGTATGAAGAAAAGAAATGCATACATGAGTGTTATCACTGTTTTGTTGTTATCTGCTTTCTTGCTATACCTGTTAATAATTTGACTTCTGACAAATGTACTTAAAGAAATCTGATAATAAATAATAATTTTCCATTTTCCACATTATCATTATGTGTATGTTTTGTTTTTCATTCTTAGAGAAGGCTTCGAAAATGTATCGAGATGTCCTAGGAGCTAAAGTCAGCGAACCAGTGGTGAGTGTTTTCATCGCTGCTTTGATAGGTAGTAGATTTTATATTTGACCCATATTTTACATAATTTGTATTGCGTGCTCTATAGTATTTGTTTTTTGTTGTTCATAGAATGTTAAATTCTGAAAGTTTATTTGTTACATATTTGTTGAACTCTAAGGTAATTTTTTTTGTCCTTTGACGCTTTTTAAAGTAAACTCACAATTTTTTTTTTCAAAAATGTTGAATATTTCCTTTAGCTTATTCACCTTTCCATGTTTTCTCATTACTGCACACTGGTTTCCAAATTGTAGTCACACAGTGTTTTTGACTTGAAAGATGATATAAACAACGACCAGTTCTTTCTTGCAGTTTATTTCATCTTAGGCACACTTTTTCTGTCTGAATATTTAATTACTATTAATGGCGAGCACAGCAAAATGTAGCTTGTCACAGTTTTGGGATGAGCTTCTTCTGCCTTGCTATTGGCTAGAGGAGTGTTCCAATTAAGCACATAGAACTCATCAAGAAAGTGAATTGGTGATTTTGTCCACTTGGTGCAAAATTAACAAGAAAATTTTAAAAATGGGCAAAATGTTGAAATAAAATTTTGCAGGAAAACAGATCTTCCATGATGCATTGCCAATGGAAACTTTCGAAAAAGGCCATTTGCCAAGCAGTTAAATGATGTTGGATTTGGTAAAAAGGGGCACCCACTATGAATTGAGGGGGTATGTTGCATCATGGAGCGAGGGTTCCCACTTACACGAAAAAGGACATAAATTTGTAAAACTAATTGAATATTCATGGTGAATGAGATATTTATGAGCACTATAAGAGGGGTTCCTATATATGAGATAGGACATAATTTGTTTTAATTAATTGGAATGTTGAATGGTTAATGAGATAATGATAAGTGCAAGACTTGTTCACATTTCAGTCTATACAGCGCCCTCTATCACTATTTAATACACATCATGATTTTTCAAGTGGCTGATCAAAAGAACACGAGTTGTTCTGTTTTGTTGCCAGGTTTCTTTTTATTTCCCATCACACCTGGAATCTGGTTAATATGGTACTTAATTCACAGGTTACTACACATTACTACGTGGTGCATGCAATCAGACATCTGTAAGAATTTGCGCTATTGTATAATTTGAAATTAAATTACTTCTCGCTGGTCTGAACATATTCAGACTTCAAAGACAGTCGATGAGATTTAATGTTTTTATTTCTTATAGTCTAGTCTGTTGATATGTTTGACAAGCTATGACAACAATCCAAGGACAAGTCTTTCTTATTTTAGAATTTTAGAACAAAATAAAATGTTAAGCAAGTATTTAAGGAGATTTGTGTCAAATTAAAGATTATACATCATTTTCTTCATACTTTTATATTATTTATTAATATTTTTAAGATACCGAATATAAAAAAAAGCAAATTGCTGTTACTTGATAATTTTTCAAAAAACTATGAATGTCATGGAAAATGTTAAAATTGACATTTTTGTGTTGGTCTTTATAATATTTCTTTCTTGCTTGAAATTTTGGTTCATGACATAGATGTAAAATAAATGTCATGTTTTAATATTGATATGAGTTCAAATATATTTTAAAAAATGAGTTAATAGTATGTTAATAGTTTTCCATTGTTATATAGTGAGAAGTTCTCTCCCATAATGCATTTCATATATACACAGTAACATGCTCAGTAATGGCTAATTTCAATTTTTTGAATTATTTTGTCTCTGAACGATCAAGTGTCAACGATAGCACTTCAGTACTGTAAGATGATACTTCTTCATAAAATCATGTAAATTACCAGAATATATTATTGTATTTGACATTAGAAATGGTGAATTTAGTGACCTCATCAGTGTTTGAAGCAAATTTTATGTCCAACATAAAATGTTTAGTATCTCGTATGCCACGCCCCCTCATTGTGAAGAGACATCAAATTTTCTCATCGTCACCACCATTTGTTGTTTTGGCAGTCAGAGTCTGAATTGCCACCTTCATTTTGACAGACAATTTTTTTCTGAGCATTAGTTGTGTTTTCATCAATTAAGTAGTTATTTGTGTTGTCGGCCACTGGCAGTAAAAAGTGTGCAATCCTTACCAGAATTGATTTTATTCCGAATCAAGTAGTGTAATAATAATAGGTGATGTATTTATGAATATAACCGAACAACATGTGTAATTATATATTTGCGATTGGGAATGCAGCCCTCAGAGATTAGAGGTTTGTACAATGAAAATAATGCCCTTGGTGTGTGGAGTATGCTGAGGGTTTTTATTTAACTTTATTAAGCTCCCGCTGCCTTGAGAATTGAAAGTTTTCAATCGACCACTCCTTTACATTTAGTACACCAAGGGATGGTCATTGCACTTGTAGATCTTCGATAACCACAAACAAATAAAAGGAGAGATTAATTAATGTGTGACCCTACTGACTTGGTAAAGTTAGACGTTGCATCGATGCATTTCAATTCATTCTTCTTGTTCCATGCTGGTACCTGTAGTGTCAGTTGACTGGCATTTTTCAGCATAGTATTTATTGTACTTTGGCTTGAAATCAATTCATTTGTTAAATTTAAGACCAGCTCAATACTCAGTGATGGAGATTAACCTAATACTTTTTAGTGAGGCATTGTGTGTGTCTGTGGTGGACGTGATTCGTCCTTGAAATAAGTAGGCTTTTTTTATTGTTACTGTTAGATGCCACCGAACTCTAAATAGAAAAACCTTTAGAAAAGTCAGGATTCTTCCACGCAGTGATGCTACCCACGTTGTGGTTAAAATTTAATCGTTTTCGCTTGAAAAATTCTCAGTCCCGAGAGATAGTACTACACTAGGTCAACCTGTCTGTCTGATTGTGATTTTTATCGTCACACTCGGATGTTTCTGTTATGGTCATTAGGATCATTTTATTTCCCTAAAATATATATCCAATAAAAACCCAAATTTCCATGTTTATTTCCATTTTTACATGTGTCTGTGATGTTGTTTATTACTTGTTTTTGCCAACTTTCTCTAACTTTTTCATATCTTGAGTTGATATCTTGAAACGAATGTTTAGTAATGCTTGTTCTTTCGTAGTTTCATGACCCGCCTTAAGGCCTATCCACTGGCTACTTTTAACAGAATAAAAGACTTTTCTTTTCTTTCTATTCATCCACAGTTTGAATCACCTCCATAAATCCCCAAGTGAAAATGAGACATTCCATTCAATTTCAGAGGGGGAGCAGGGTGGGAGTAGCGGTGCATCTCGTTTCTAACTATTTTCAGTAAATTAAATATAAATTTTGTCACTAACTTTAAATTGGATTTGAAATCAGTAACACTTTAACTGGATACATTTCTTATAGTTTGAGAAGAGAATGATGCGTTTACCCTTATGGCTTGAAATCACTAATAGATTTGTAACAGACATGCTTCTACAGTCCCTACTGTCTTAATAAATCATTAAATTGCTGTGCATGGGCTGGTCTAATGGAAGTAGGCTAGTTTTCACGTCAGTCAATGCTTGACAACATTGTTACACTTGTCATAATATATAAAAACGATCTCATCAATCTTTTTACCTGATGCTTCCTTTTTTTTTCAAAATCACTTATTGATCACAGGACATGAACTTTGAAATCTAGAGGTCACACGGTTCCATGGTAAAAACAGATACCTTGCTGTTATATGAATAATATAAAGACGTTGAAGGAATGTTTTGAATTTGAAGGTCGCTTTAACCTTAGAAAACCAGGTTGTCACATTTCTCAAAATGAACCTGCATAATTTCTTCTATACCATAATTGCTGTTAATAGCAAAGTACTTAATGACAGAATTGTGTTTCTGGTCATAGTAAATCATATTTTAATGATCCAGTATAAAATAGATGCAGTTTTTGGTTTATGTGCACTTCTTTTGGAGATGTGCTGCTAATAGAGTAATTATGGTGTTCTTTTGGTAAGTTTAAATAAGACCTTTCGGCAACAGACAATCAGATGCATTTGATTCCAAATTAACAAAGAAATTATATTAAACATAAAACAAATAATCTAAGGTATAAATGCTTCATATTTGTTAATTTCGTTAAATTTGTTAAGTTTTGGTTACCATGGTCACACTCTGAGATGATATTTTTATGTTCATTGGTGATATTGTAGTTGCTTATCAGAAATACATATAAATTTGCACTTGTAAAACTGAATCATCAATTTAAAATATTCCTTATTTAGACCATATTAATTAATAAAGCATACTTCTACAGTGTTACATTTTTGTGATATATTTGATGGACTGTTAAAATTTTTAAGTTACCCAATACTATATACTAACTGGGAAGGCTATCACACGTTATGCAGTTTGACACAATAGAGCACCAGCACTGATCAGTGCACAACTGTTTTTCCACTGTAATTTTCAAGACTTGTATAAAGATGTGAAAGATTTCAGCTGAATATGGTATGGTTTTATTTTTACTCCTCAAGTTAATATCCTTCTTTGATTGTTCTTTTTTTTTTTCAGCCCTTACCTGAGCATGGCGTGTCTACAGTGTTCATTGAGCTTGGCAATACCAAACTTGAACTACTTCATCCACTCGGAGAAAAAAGTCCAATTCAGAGTTTTCTAGACAAGAAACCAGGCGGTGGGCTCCATCACTTATGCATTGAGGTGAGATAATGTCGGGACAGGGCAAAGGTTGCCCTGGTGATGGCCTTTGACCCTTTTAATACTTCAATCTCTATTACCATAACACAATGTAAAGTGTGTTTTTTTTCATGCAATACTAAACTTGTTAGATTTTTCACATTATCAATTTGAGACCTTGCATCATTAGATTCATCACTATCATTATAAAAACATGATTTCACGTTCATTGAATATTGAGTTCATGTTGTAATTTATATGTACTGGGAAGTATCAATCAAATGTATACACAAACAAACACCTGAAACTTTCAACTGTGCTCCAATTACTGGCTGATAAATTATGTGAAATGTGTGACCTCACACATTCTGAGTTAGTCAACGAATATGGAATTGGAAAAACAGTTTATAGAAGTTTACATCTATATATTTTAAAAGGATTAATTATTCACTGGGTTTTAATTTTGCCTATTTCGCTGACTGGAAAATGCGCTTAATTGTGAATATGTAAAATTTAGCATAGAACACATTATCTAAATGATAAAACCATGAATTTAAAACCCACTGAATATTTTGTTATCACAAAAGTCATAAAATCATCAAAACACAAAAATTTCTAGCAATGCAAATTTTATGATTTACATTTTTTTTTGTATACATCATGTGGGACTCATTTTTACCCACTGAGTTCCTCAAAATGTAAATTTAAATAAAATTAGTGAAAACTAGGACTAGTTTTTTATGGAGACAAATCTGTTAAAACAAAAGCAGGTTAAATTGTAGTGGTGGAAAACTTTCAAAGTTTAGAGAGCTGCGTTTTGTGAATGTATTTGTTGATACATGTAGCACTGTCAATTGTTTGTATTGCAGCATATAGCAGGTTATTTTGTCTGTCTGACCTGTCGCTGTATCATATGGTGTAGCTCATCATGCATTAACCTTATGACAGATCAAATTATTTTCTTACCCAAGTGCTTAATACAATTTTTATTTTTGAGGTTAGTTTTTGTCGTATACATATGTGAATAAATTTCAGTTTTCCACATACCCAAAGACTCTTTTCACATAGTTTATTTATAGTAACCAATCAAAGGGGAACAATAAAAAGAAACTTTTTGAATAGGAGTGGACATGGTGTCATGATTTTGGCATGTTGACATGATGAATCTATTTCATTGAAAAAAAAAGTTGCTAGTATCTTGGCCTGTGGCCCATTCAGCTATGGTGGGTTGTTTTCACATCAGCTGGTCGCATCAGATGGGCAAATTAAACACAAGTCTGTAGGGATATAAACACAATGTGCCTCTGAGATAGGGACTCATTCACTTTAACCTTTTCACCACCAGTTCCCTCTTTTCATCACAAATTTCCAAAATTTGCACTTTCCTTCTAAATATTGGGACAAAACTAGCCACATTTTTTGAGTGCAAACTGAACATTTACTCAAATTTTGTCTTTTGACTCCAAAATTTGGCTAGAAAGTCTGGTGATGAAAAGGTAAATTTCCAATAATATTTGTTTAATTGTTGTCTCTCCTGACTATTTTAGGGACGACGTCAAAAGATCAATGTCGGATAAAAAACTTAATTTCTTCAGTTTTTTTCCAAACCCCCCTACCCCCACTGAAACTTAATTGATAAATATTGGTCATGGCGTCAGACTACATTCACCATTAAATACAAATTGATAATCGGACAGTAGTATTGCATAGCAGTTGGCTGTCGGGTGGGTGTAAAAAGATTTTACAAATGCATCTCATTTGACGCACAGATTTACACTCGAACCAAACCATTTTTCTGTTTTTTTCCCTTTTCGGTTATTTCTGTCCATGATTGGATAGAAAAAAAAACGAACTACAAATACTCCAAAATTGTTTTGACTTCATTAAAAAATAAAATCATTTTTGTCGGATGGAAACTTTTTGAGGTCAAAACCTCCCACCCCCAAACTAAAGGAAATAAGTTTTTTATCCGACATCGATCTTTTGACGTCGTCCCTTAAGTGAAATGTTTTTTTTTAAGTGCATCCAAGCATGCAGTCCATTAAATGTTTTCTTGCCATATTGCTTCAGACAACCAAACAGCAACACTATCACCAATGTTGCTGACTGGTGCTCTATCCATATCTCAAGATCATTACGTCATTGGGACAGCTTAAGTCAAGTCAACATAAACAGAGGATGTGAAACTTTGAGGGTGACATTGAATATCAATAGAAGATGCGATTCTCTTTCCCTTTCAATTTATTTCATCCAATTGTATAAATTGACAAAATATCCCCAAAAATTAAACAAAATGTATATATTTACTGCCGCGGTGTCACATGTTGTCTTGTGTGGGAGTCTGCTAGAAAACATACTTGATGTTTGAAACAACATACATGTAACAGTGACAATTTAATTTAATATTGTGTGAAACCTTTCTTGGTAATTTCTATGATTTCCAATGTCAAAAACATTGACATAGACTATTTCATTTACAATGACTCATTAAAAGATGCTTTTCCACTTGGTATAATGTGCAAAACATTATAGTGATCATTATGATGAATCAGTTGTTATAGCAACAAATCCTCAAATATTGAATCCTGCTTGCACTCAAGTGTACAACTTCTAAAATCAACAAATGAAATATACTGTTAATTTTTGTGTTCATTCACTGCCACTTCACTGTATTTAAAAAAAAAATTTCTCATGAACCATCCAAAATGCAGAGCTTATATGAAACATGTAGTGGGCTGTGAGTGGTGTTCTACAGATCATCTGAAAAGTTGACTTTGGCCGTCAGAGGATTAATACATAATAGGCGAAGTTGAAATAGTTTAGATGCAATTAACACCCCCTCTCTGTACATATCAGGAAATGGTCACTGACCGTACATCCTACAGTTTTACTGAGCCAAGACTATTCATTTTATTCCAGGTTGACAACATAAATGAAGCGGTCAAAGATCTTAAGGAGCATAACATTAGAACATTAAGCCCGGAGCCAAGGATTGGAGCACATAATAAACCAATCATGTTTCTACATCCTAAAGACTGTGGTGGGGTGTTAGTAGAACTGGAAGAAGCATAAACCTGTGTAAATTCTGTTATGTATCACTTATTAGATATAGCAAATTATAGATTTGTTGTCAAGTCTTCTCCCACAGCAGATGATATCGTATCGTATCGTATCGTATATCCCATGCTAGAAGTACACAATGAAAATTGGATGATTTTAAAAGGGAGGAAGGCTGTTTTATCTACAGTACTGCACCCATTCTTGAAAACAAATTTGTATTGAAGTGTCAAAATAGCTTATTATTTATTGTTATCCAGTAAACATTTGCAGAAACAATTAAACCTTTTATCCACAGTCAGTAGTAGTGATTTGAAAAAATTGATTCAATGGATAGAGGCACTAGGAAATGTAGGTATGTTTGATTCACATTTTGAGTATCTTTATCATAGTTGGTAAAAGTAAAGGCATTGTCAGGTGTTATTCCAAATTATTGATATTGTATAGTATGAATTATCATATACCTTGTATTGTCCTTCCTCAGAATATCTTATGCGCTGACTGTGTTTTTCCATGAACTGAACATTCATGAAATTATTTGTTTATACGCTCAGGTTCTGATTCACGAGTAGCAAAGTAATATTAGCAGAAAAGTAATATTTTAAACACCAGTTGCTCAAAACAATTACTTTTATTTTTTATTTGGCTAATAAGGTATATATGGATTTTGCTGGTCTCTATCATATACCTAACATTCTTACAAACTTATGTAGATCAAGATCAGAGGTGTATAATACATTGTAATGCAATCAACAAAATTTGTTTCTTCTACATTTGAATAAGTGCACAGTGTGAAATTTTGATTTGCTTCAGTTCAAGTTAGTGTTTTTAGTTTCAGCAAATAATGTAAATTATATTTTTCAGTTATAATGTAAAACATTTATTGTATAATGTTGTAGCTTAATCTTTAAACTGAATCGGCTTCATACAAAATTTAATGCAAGACTACAATCAAAATTGATCCTAAAATAACCGTTTTTAATGTGAAAACTAAAAAAGCATTAGAAACATTACTCCAGCAATATTCAAATTTATATTTTACAAATTTATAGATTTACAAGGACAAGACTGAATAATGGATATTGTCCCATGCACAAGATTATTGGCTTTTATGCCATGGTTGTTTACATCCAATTTCTGGGAACGCACGTGTTCAGGTGGCGATGTACGACACGGTAGATGCATTACAAACCTGGGGAGGCAGCTAACAATTTTTCAGTTATTCTGAAATCGTACAGAAAAACAGAAGAGTGCAAATGGTATAATTGTATGAACAGTGCCTATGGTTTTGATCATAATATAAATTGTCCTTTTTGTACAATTTTGTGTTTTCCCAGAGTGTGAATAATCATTGTTCTGTGGTTTAGTTCTGAGATCAAATGTAGGTGAGGTCTGTCACTCTGTCTTTGTCTCTGCCTGTGTCAGCTAGTGTGTTGCGAGTCCCATTAATGTGTCTGCAATTGAGTGAAAAGTTGTGTTGAATGCACCAGAAGAGAATTTTGTTTAAGTTAATGATGGTCCTGATGCTAGTGTCTCACCACACTAGAACCATTCTGTTTTTGACTTGTGTCAGAAGGTCCCATAGACTAGTTGAACTACTTTCAACTTCTTCCAGTCGATATGCATGATCATCTGACTGGAGTTCCAGAGCCTTTGTGTCTGTAGGTCCATTATTTGGGTCTCCATCATTTATCCTACAAGAATGACAGTAGTAGGATGTAAGGGCATCCTGACAACCAGGAGATTGGGCACCAGACTAGAACTTCTCTGTGCTTGACTGGCAAGTACTGGGATGCCCAGATAGCTCCCTCTGGCAACCTAACACGATGCTTTATTAACGAATCTGATGTGGAGTGTTAGTAGTACCAGAGATTTTACAAATAAGATCATGCCCACCATGCTCATGATTTTTCACAGGTTGTTAGATGTCTGTGTCATCATTTGAGATGTGCAACTACCTGATTCTATCACAGCATTTGTCTTGGGTCAGTCGACTCTATTCCACATGCCCCTTCGTTGTCTACAAATCCTTGTTACCTCAGGAGTGAAAGTGTGTATTAAGGGTGTTCCAAGCTTCTGCTTGGTAGCACTGTGCCAATGTCAGGTTCCTGATGGAGCTTGATACAGTAGGTGGATACCCACAAAGCAGTGCATTGTGATTTGTTAGAAGAAGATGGAGAGAATTGATTGACTATACAGGGACTGGGCTAATGAATTTAAGATGAAAAGCATGATTTGACAGGTTATCTTTCTTTTTTTTGGGCGAAAAATTAATTGGCAAAGAGTCTAGAAAGGCTACACCAGCCAGGATGCGTTTTGCACATCTCTGTACTAGAGTAGGGTGTGAACACTGGGATGGTCACTTTGTAGACATGTGCGGGATTCGAGCTGGATGTAAACACTGGCACAGTTCCTGTACAACAAGTAATACATGTAACACAGAATTTATTGAGGTCGCTATCAACATGTCAGGGACCCTTTTAGTATCAGCCACTCATTCACAGCTTCTTTCAGGTACCAAAGCTACTAGTATATGGGAACCAGACTGAGTTCGAGAACAAAGATGCCACATTCTGTTAGACATTTAACGAGGACAAAGTGTGGGAACGTTTTAGAAAGTATTATTGAAAGAGATTATAAAAATGATGGAATGTAATGTGAACTAACACAATGAACTCGTAATAGTATATTGCATGATTATATAGAGCATGTATTTTATTTGTTCGTTATGAATGTTGTACTATGATCAAAATAATCTACACAAATAGGACCTGTTGAACTAGGGTTTCTTACTTGGCAACTCATGTCTTCAAAATCAAAATAAAACTAAAATATCTAAATGGCAGAAATTTCTATATGAAAACTTGGATACTGTTCCTTCTGCATAGATCTTTATTATGAATTTGATTCAAATTATTTGTATCATCCATGTTTGCATCTTTACAGAAATAATCGTAGCTATTTTTTATGCAGTACATACGACGACGTCTCATTTACAAACAAAAATTATGGTTTGTGTAGAGAACTGCCTGCCTTACCATTCGAAAGATGTGTTTCAAAGAGTTCCGAATGTAACGTTACTAAAATAAACCATGTATTTATAATAGGACTTTTGACTAAGATTGAATACATGGATTATATGAGATGCTGTGATTTAAATAATCAACTCTTAATATATGCAAAGGAAACTAATATTCAGCCAACTCTACAATTCGGGAACTATAAAATTATCCCCGACCTTGTATTATCTGTATTCACTAGTTAATTGGTCATATAGAATTTGGAGAAATATGTAAATTGTTTATATACATGCAAGTTAACAAAACGTACAATAAAATTTCAGTATTTATAAATTGAGTTGATCTTGTATATTGCAGACCATGCATCAAAATGGAGAAAAGTGTTAGTTATAGACTTAAATCATGCTACAACAGGTTACCCAATTTTGCGTTTACCATCGTTGTCTGTTCTCCATGATAGATATGTTGTTGCCCCGTCAACAAAGTTTTTAACAATATAAAGTTTGGTTGAAAGTCCTGTTATTACGAATGCTTGACTAACTTTCTGTGTAATAGCTGGAGCTACTTACTATCAGCAGTCATGAATAACCTGCGTTAATGTTCCTATCGCAAAGGTCATGGACGACTTGCCTTGTCATTTTCTACCATCAAAGGAGGACTGTACTGTACTGCATTTTGGTGTGCTATAAATCGAATGTGGATATTGTATAATTTCTATTTGAATGTTTTTAAGTATAAAGTACACCTTTTTGTGTACTTATTTTCAAAAATTGGTTTTGAAACAAAATATTCCCATATATATTGTTGGATTGCTTCTGAAAGTTCTTCGTTCAAATATTTATAAAAATGATTAATGCTACACATTAATAACAACAGTGATCACTGTGTAAACACAGAAATGATATTCAACCTCTTGAAAAATTGTGTGATAACGAAAACTTTTCAGATAGTCCAATTTATATGATATTCAAAAGGTAAAACTATGAATAGAATCCAGATCCATGGTTAATTTAATGAGATGCATGTTTGTATCCGAAGCCAATCGGAAAGAAGTTCATTAGATCAATTCGTTTAATAATCGCCTTTGAGAACATAATCAGAACAGATATAGACAAATTTGCTTACATTAGCTAATTCATATATTTCTGTTATTCCCAATTCAAATGGTTATACAATCCACTATCATCAAAATATCACTGTTTAATAGAATACCTATTTGTATGGAGGCAATCCCGAAAATTTATGTAAAATATTATCCAATATGCAAATGGTCGTTTTAAAACATTTAAAAAAGATGTACAACATACTCAACGCAGGATTCTTTCTAGTGTAACATAACTTATCACATTTAATATCAAATTATCTATTATATTTCCATCGGGGTGGGGGTAAATAAAAAGACCAGGATGACACAAACTATTTCTGCACATATAATGATTTCTTATCGACAGCATATTTTTTTTTTTATATCTGGGATTTGGCTTGTGGCGAGGTGATTGCCCCGATCGTGAGTTTGAGTCTCTCATTTCATATTGTAGTATATATGTGTTCGTCTGCATGTACAATAATTACTTTGAAAGAGGCATTTTTCAACAACGTATTGACATTCCAATGGGAAAATGTGTCTGTATGAATCTGAGTTACGGAAATTAGGTAAAAAACAAAAACGGTTCAAAAAAGCGACATTTGACATTCATTTAGACAGATATGATTTTCAATATGAATTGTATGATAATTTTCTCCTAATTTATAAATTACTCTGTCCATGTGGATTCACATAAAGTCACTTTATATAAACTATATTTTCAAAATTATAAATTCAAAAGGAATATGTAAGATACGTTTTTATATACTATTTTTTGTACAGTATATGTATTGGCTTTCTTATATTCTTATATACACTCGATTTCGCTGCACTGTTAATACACCCATGACATTTTTTTTAAAAAGAAGAAAGGTAACCACTCTAACCCAGGGGCATGTCGATCAAAGACAGGCTTGTATGACAGTTCTGTTAATGAATGAAAAAACAGACAATGATATATTTACAATAGACTGCTTTGAGAGCCACTCGAGTGGTTGAAATTGGAGACTTACTAACAATGATCAACAGAAACCCTTAAATCCATAGAGGCCACTCTCTACCCAAAGAAGGTTATCCGTCTTCATATTGGATCTTTGGGGTCATTAATTTGGTTTACGTGTCTAAACTTCAATATGATGTCGGTACATAATGTGGGAAATGTAACGCATTTATTTAGTCAACGTTAGAATATGGAAAACGTGCAAAGTTTTATTCAACATCAAAGTTTAGGGATGGGAATTCCGAGTCAGAAAATATTCCACTCACGCTAACTGGGTATATTTGTTGAAGTAAAGGTACTTGTTTTGGAAACATTCTGAATAATACTTTAGTGATGTTGTAATATAGTTGCCAATTTATTTAAGTAATTCCATTTTAAGTTTGGTAATTTAAATATGATATAATGGCAAGGCTGTTGTAAAATAGGTTTTCAATAGGTGATTTTCCGTACAATTGCGAGATCTCGCGAGATGCATGAAAGACGCGCGTCGAACGTCTGCCGCAAAAATCGAACAATTTGATTTTGAACTCGAATTTCTTTATTTCGTAGCTCACATCGACCGGCCGATCTTCGACAGAGGAATATTGCTATCATCAAATGTGGACAGCACATTATTAAGCATGGAAATGTCCCCAAAATACTTTCGCGTTTGTCGAATCCCACGCGATGTTTGACGCCACTACAACGCTATGACCTTTGTTTGTCCTGTTTTTACGTTCGATTTCACGCATAACGCGTGATTCTCGCAGTGAACGGAAAATGGTCTATTTACAGATGTGAAGTTCACTGCTACAAAATGTCATGCTTTTTCCTGAATCACAAAAAATTATATTTGCATCTTTTTTGTGAATAAGTTTTTGATCTTACAGCTGTGTTGAAATAAACTGATCAGAATAACCACAATCTCCCTTACAATATTTTACATTTGACGTAATGCAATATTCATTGTGTTATCTGTAGTTTGTGAGACTGTTGACGGAAAGAATTGGTAAATCCAATATCTTTATTTGGAGGAGATAAGAAAGGCATCATCTTAGTTTGTTTCCCAAACAGAAGCTGGTAGGTTATGCTGTGCTCTGGTGCTCTAATTTTTTGTGGGTGGTTGATTGTGTAAAGTTCACTTGTTGAATGTTTTGTGAAACAAAAGTCGTCTGGACAGCTAGGTACTACGGCGTGGATTTGAAGTCATTTCGAATATGTTACCTTCAAATGCTCCGTGCAAAATATAATTTGTGTAGAATTGGGACAATACATATCAAATAAAGAATTACGTAACAACAACAACAACAAAACAATAATAATAATAATAATAATAATAATAATAATAATAATAATAATAATAATAATAATAATAATAATAATAATAAAATGGGTAAATGTGTTGTAACAATATCATAATTTACCTGTAGTTACGGTGACATTGTACACGTACTTCGTTTAAAGTTGCAGTGGCGGCTGCAACTGTCGATTTGAAAAAATATAATAATAATAATAATATGTATTTCATATGTTGTATTTAATGATAACTACTTATTAATGGCATGTTGATGCTAGGGTTATAGTTTACGATACAAATGTTAAAACAAAATGGCCGCCCGCTGCTAAAGACGCCAATCACCTAGCAACATCTTCCGTCGTCGATGGATCGTTGGATAATGGCTCTTACATCTTTGTTTCACAGAGTTTGATGGAAAATACATTCATATTTTCAAAGCGAAGAAAATATCGTTCAGTCACTTCTTCGTTTTCGTTTTTTTGCTCACTGTCGTACTACACTGTTGAACAAAGCTTGTGTGTAGGTATGTGGCGTGTGGGCATGTATTGGGAATAAATCTGTGATTTTCTTGAATCGTCGGACAATAGGTTTGCAACTATTCTAACTTTTCCACTCTCTTTCTATATTTCACCAATCTGGCGAGACTGGTACAATACACCACCACCAACAACAACGACAACAGATAAGTGGATCGATTAGTTGACGTGTTGAAATTCCATGACAGTTATCTTCGTGACTTTGCTTGATCGGCAAATAAATTCTTCTTAACAGTCGTGATCTTCGAATTAGTGATGGTGCTTAGTTCTGACATTGAATGAGATAGTACAATAGTTGCTAGGTGACTTAGTAAGGAGATTACACTTACTCAATGTATTTGGCGTCCGACTCCTTATTCCAGAACAATAGATGCGCCCCAGTTCTCGCTAATGAGAAAGCGGTAATTCAAATGCATCTTGGCTCAACCATAGACCATGTAGGGTCGACGACTCAACAAAGGCATATTATGGTTAAATTATTGTACAGTTATTTAAAGTTCTTCAATCTAGAAGAAAAAATATAATAAAAACAGACTCCGTTTGGGGTCAATTGATATATTCTTGAATGGAAATGATGCATCAATTGGGTTCTTTCAGAGAAGTTGAAATTATTACTTTATAAGTCATTATTTACTTAAGTAACCTGCCGGTACTGATTATTTGTTTTACCAACGAATATTCGCGAAAATTTTACAAGCATTATTATACCTGTTACTGTTTTCGGGTCATGAGCAATATTATTACAGTTGCTGGTTACCTCCTAAACCCTTTATTGGCGAACCATTAGAATCGCTACAATTATTTGTCCGCATGTTACTTTCCGCATAAATCATTCTCTTTCTATGGAATTATATTTATTTTTCAATTACAGTCCACTCTCACTCATGCAGTGTTGTTCAGTCTCGGCCATTGAGGTGATCCTGGCGTGCCAAATGAAGGGTAGACACGGCATGGTACAACACATCCACATATATAGTATAAGTGTAATGATATCTACGCAACATGGGGTGTATTATAATTGCATTCATCATAAGTCATTGTTTACTTTACGGGTTTCAGTGGGCGTATATACCACACTTAGCGGTGTCAGGATTTATTACTTCCATTTATGTAAACGATATATGTATATTATTTGTTTCCATAGTTTTTTTTCTTATAAACATTGCCAAAATTGTAACAATAATATGTAAATTGGAACTCACACGGAAACATCAAAATGGCATGTTTCCAAAACAAAACAAAAATCTTATAAATATACTGTAGCATATACACTTTTCCTGTATGTCACACCGCTGGGCCTAGCCTTGCATGTTTTAACTTGTGACACAAATCCCACAGACATATTGTTAATTTCGATCAGACAGCATTGGCGATGTGAGTATTATCTTTTCAAGATTATACAAAGTTCGTGAACAGGTAGTTAACGTTATAATTGGA